AAAAGGATCACGATTAGTTTTGTCAGGTTTTCAAACAGTATAACCAAGCATCTTTCTGAATCCTCACAGATCATACAAAATATTAAAAGCATAATGCACAATAAAAAAGCGCAAGACAGAACGAATAAAAAAGAAAAGAAATAAAACTTTTTGGCTTGAATCAGCCATTATAAATGATGTTTTTATTGGCAACAAAAAGTAAAGCAAGAGAGGAAGGAGATACATATATACTCAAGATACTTTTTCTCTTTGTTGACATTCAGCTCGAAGCAAAATATGTCAATAAAAGATCTTTCCTTTTTCCTCTATTTATTCACATAATGAACAGTAGCCTTACGACACAGGAATGTGTTGATTTATTGCTCTGTATTAGTAATCTGTAGATATACAGTATGTGAATACAGTTTTCAGAAACTTTTCTATCGATATATAGTTTCACTTACTTGAACAATTTCAGCAAATAAATAGTTATTTTAAAGAATCTTTAAAAGTAAACTTATTGTGTAAAAATAAAAGTTCTAAGTCAATAAGTAAGAGCCAGTCAATAAAGAAAACTTGTTATTTGCGAGTTTGGGTCTGAAAAAAAAACCAATCCTTTAATATTGATTAATCAGAACATGAAACATATTTCTTTCGCCTTATATATGCATGTGTGTGAACAGTATGATTTGTTTTGTGAATAAGCTAAATGAAGTGAGAATTACTATCTCAACGAACACTTCCCTAATCAAGTTCATCATAGAGAATTCACTGGTGTTGAGACTTTCTGTTTTTAATTTTTTTTTTAATTTTGTAGTTTTCTATGTGTAAAAAAAAACGTTCGATGATATTCTCACATTTTTATGTCTCTTATTTCTTAAGCTAGAACCTTTATTTTTGCACTATAAGTGTATTTTTAAAAAGATTATTTATCTGTTGAAATTACTTGAGTGGCTGCAAAGATATATCGATTAGAAAATTTTCAAGAGCTTTTTTTCCATACATTATTTTCTCATGGTCAATAGTAATACAAATGATGAATAGTATCTTTCAACCATTTAGAAACGACAAAGATTCCCATACATGGATTGTATTGTTGTACAAACAAGTTTGTTGAACAAAATCATTGATAATCGCACAGTGAATAATCATGTGACACTAGATGAAAAGAATGAAAGTGAAATGTTTCGAGATATCACTAATGTCCAATATACTTCACGTAATGACGAATTGTTTTAATCAATTTTTTTTCTAACTTACTTGAAAAACCTAGGACCTGAAAATGATGTAACTTCAGCTATCTTTTAGAAAAAATGAAGTAGTAAATCATACATGTTTTGAAAGTAGAACTCATGGTATACTTGTTTATCAAAAAGAATCTCTTTTAATTCCTTAACTACGAAAAAATCCTTCTTTTGGCATATAGTTCTTTTCTTAAACACCTGCTTAGTAAAGTGGGTGTCATAATGTTTTTCTAAATTCTAAATAAAATAAAAATTTTAGAGAACACTCCACTCCATGTGATACTTTTACTGTATTAGCTCAATATAATCCAAGTGCTTCTGAAATGAGATGCCGACTTTTCAAGATTTTTCACGACTTGCTCGACTCAGAAGTACTTTTGAACAAAAGTAATGACAGATTAAGAATCGGCACAAGAAATTGCACAGAATTATATGTGTACCAAGTGGTTCTAAAAAAAGTCATTTTTCACCGCTTACGGCCATACCACGTTGAATACACCAGTTCTCGTCCGATCACTGAAGTTAAGCAACGTCGGGCTCGGTTAGTACTTGGATGGGTGACCGCCTGGGAATACCGAGTGTCGTAAGCTTTTTTATATTTTATTTCTTTAAATCATGCTGCCATATTTTAGCGACTACGTTGCTCAACAACTACCCACAAGGTAACGTGGTCAAACCTCAGTATCACCAGCTATGAAATGACTCTGGACAAGTCACAAAATGGTTATTTGTCTCGAATCACTCGTCCGATAGCATGCTGAGTACGTTATGACATACACTTGCACTTGTGGTTGGCATATAGTCAGTTAGTGTATATGAAGAACTCAATCAATTGAGCGCAAGCACTCTGTATTATGCCGGTCTTCTGTCCAGAGCTAAAGTTAGCCATAGCTGTAAGGAATATATGGGGTTACTGAGTCTGTCACTAGGCAGCACCTAATATTGCAAGGTAGTTGAAAGGCAGAGATATTGTTTCTTCCTTCTTCCTTTCATTTTTTATCACAAGTCTAGCCTTAGATTAAAAGTTCTATGTTGGATTATATTTGGTCTGCGACGAAGCCAAACTACAGGTCTGTAAGGAGTTAAGTCTAAACTAATGATGTTTGGTTCGGATGGTGGTTGTGGTAAAGTTATGAGCAAAAGTAAAGCTTTGGATACAAATATTTTCTACTTGCATTTTGGATTTGAGCATAACAACAAAACGGTTAGTTTAGCAGAAATAAAAAAAAAAAAAAAAAAAGCTTAGTGACTTGGTCTGTATCATCAAAAACAGAACCGCCAATGGGTGATGGCAAACACTAAGCAGAGTGTGACAAAGTGTTTTTCATATGGCAGTATCGTATTGAGCATTTTCTGCACAATAGAAAACACTTTGCTCTGACTTTGCATAAAATTTTCTTCAAGGTTCTGAAAAACATCTCCTTTCGACTTTCAATTCAGCACATTTGAAAAACTCGAAAAAAAAATTATTTTTTCACAAGAATAGGCATCTTGAAAGCCATTGAAGCTTCTAGAAAGCTCAGTTTGAAAAATTTTGAAGCTATGAAATGCACTCCCATAGAAAGAACATATGCGAAAACCTGCAACTCTAGTTTTTAAGGTTCTACGGATGCTATAAAATCAAACAAACATACGCCTATCAAAAAATGTCCATTACGAGTTTTAGAAGAAGCTTAACAATTAATCGCATCTGATTGAAAACTGTCAACAATAGATTATCAACAAATCCAGATGATGCATGAAATGAATGATGTATATTCTAATAAACAAGTGATAGCATTATTTGAAAAAGGTGTCATAAAAATCTAACATTGACTCGTTAACACTGTTGTCATGAATTTCGTAAAAAGGTGAGCAATACTAAAGAAGCACTATTAATTAAAAAAACAACGTTTTCATCGACGTAAAACACGATTATGAAGCATTCGCATAAAAGTGTCAACAAAAAAAATGAAACAGTAAATCATTCTACATTTCATCCTCCTCACATGTGTGATAACTGACACATTATCAACACAATTTTTATTTCAAGAAATAGAGATATTTATTAACAAAGTAAAATATTTTTATCACTTGACATGTATCGTCATTTCATTAGTGATTGTTTATTCTTATTTTTCTGTAGTCAAACATGCTAGTCATTTTGTGCTCTCAGGAATGGTTTTATTCAACGAAATAAACCATTAAAAATTATTCAAAAATATAAAAAGTTATTTCAATAGATAGAAATTCCGAATTCATTTCTCAGAGTTTTCACATTCATTTTTGTTTTGATAAATACGATCTCCATAAACTTGTCCAGAGAATAAATGAGTCAACTTTAAGATCATCAGTGTTGAAAATGTTTGAATCGATTTTGTGCAATATGTATTGAATCTATTGTTGTGACCTTCCAGATAAATGAAATAAAGCTATATGAATCAATCTGTCATTTTTTTTTGAAATTCTATAAAAACGAATAGAACAGAATTCAAACTTTTTATTACGAAATTTCATTCAGACTGATTTGTATCGAAGCATTTAGTAGTATGCAATCAAGTCTTTGACATGGCATTGAAATGAACCAATTCTATAAAGATTATTCTATTCTATTTCATATTCTTTATCAGTATTTAGAAAACTTTTCATTGGATATCTCGATTATTATATATTTAATTTTTTTCAAATTCAAATTCAAATTCGAACTTTATACTATGAATAGTCAAATAAGTAATTTATAAATAAATTGAATTTTTTCAATAATAAAATAGCTTTCTTGATTTCAAGAAATGAGTAACTTCAATAAAGATTTACATTTCGAAAAACTAAACTCGATTCTGTTAGCTTTCTCTTTCATCCAAATCTCCTACCCACTAAATGTTAATAGGTCGGAAGGAATCAATAGAAAACTATGATCTGTAATAGCTAGGTTAGTAGAGTTAGTAGTCCTACCTTGTCTTGTAGGTTGATGTAATATGGAAGAGGATATAAGTTCAGATGATGAATACGACTTTTATTCAAGGAAAACGTGTCACCCAGATAACACAAAATACACAAACAACTGCTGGGGCAGACTTGTTCATAGATTTGAACGAGAGAGAGACAAAGAGAAAAAAAGAAAAATAATAATAATAATCATAATATGGACATATATGTATATGTCCAGGAAATATCGAACCTCACATAGGTTACGTAAAGGAGAACGAAAAGGAATGGGAAAAGGTTAGCGGCAACTATGTAATATCTGTTGACGCTAACAGATTCCTTAATTATATTCTCTCAAAACTTTGTGGATAAGAAGTTAGCTCAGAATAGCATACTTTCATTCATCAAAGTTGATTCTAAACATATCTAATACCATTGACATTGTAAGTAAATGTTAAACAATAAAACATTTAATTGTCGAGTAAGAAAAAAAAAAGGAATTGTCTTTAGAACCATCAGCACAATAATGAGATATCATTTGATCAACTACTATAAATTCGAAGTCATAGCTATCTAATATTGCAATGATGCAATACAAATCACTATGATCATCATATAACAACCATTGATGTTCTTGATTATCTTATTCTTAAAAACTTGTTGGTAATGAAATATTTTCATCATTCATATTTTAATATGACAATAAATTGATTTATAAAAAAAAAAAATTGTTGATGAATTTATTAAATAGTACAAAAAATAGATAATCAAAGATGGAAAGTGAGAGGAAGGAGTACTGACTAGTAGTGCGATAAATGTTTTCTTTTTCCTGCATCAATCAATCAAATTGACATTAAAAAATGCATATAACTGTTATGTTAATGAATCTTTGTTTGCATCTTCATTACTATTAACCGTATGTTCATGATTATTAGTACCGATACTATGTAATTTACAAAATTGGCGAAATTGTTCTTGTTCTAATTCACGCATCAAATGATTCAATGCATAAATCTATAAATATAAACAAAAAAGTTTTTGTAAGAAAACAGGATCTTAGTAAAACAAACTTGTCTTCGTCGAAATTCGGATATTCGTTTTTGATCATTATCACTTGTTAAAGTATATAATGTTGGTAAACGTGTTTGAGAATTAATATTTGTCGATTGTCGTTCAAATTTAGAAGATGATGTATTAAAAAAATCTTTTTGTTGTTGCGAACGATATCGTTTTGATTGCATTGAATCTATTGAAAAAAAAATAATAAAATTTAATAAAGAAAATTTAAGATATTAATTACCAGATGTTGAAGTATTAAAAGTAGCTTTTGAAAGAAGATTAGGTAATTTCGATGATGATTGATTTGTTCCTGTCGATAAACTAGGACTATGAACTCGATGTTTACGTGATATTGGACGAGTAGCTAATGGTACTACACTTGTAGAAATATCATCATTAGCCATTGATAAGTCTTCTTTTTTTTTCTACAATAATTAAAAGTTTTAACTTAATTTTAAACAAAAAATGAAATATATTTGTCTATTCTCAAGATATTAAATCATCATGAGTTTTTCAGATAAGATTGAAACGTTCAATACACTTCTTGCAAAATGATGTAAAGAAAACTACATCATGGTTACGCGTGTAATAGAAGAAAACAGTATTTTTGATGATATAGTATACATGAATTCTATTCATTTCGATTTGATTCTTGTCATGCGTCACACTATCTTTCTGAGAAGTTGATCAAACGATAAACTAATATTCAGTTTTTCAAATTTAGTTCCTCATCAAATTATGAATAGAAAAAATTTTTTTTGTATATATGTGCAATAGTCTATCTACTGTATTTTATTTAAAAAAAAACAATCTTTGTCTCATGCAACACGTCGGTGATCCAGTTTGAAACAAAAACCCATTGAATACTGCAAAAGACTTGATAAGTATGCTCTTCACCGAAAGATATATCGGCGAACTGTTTTTCGGCGAAGTATGATTTCGGTAATGTAGCAATCGTCAATCTATCATTTCGACGATATGACTTTCGACAATGTCACTTTCTGCGATGTAGGCATTGACAATGTTTTTTTTCAACAATGATATATACAATCGTTAAGTCAAAGTGCCCAGGTTGAGTTAGGAACTAAGTTAAGTTAGGAACTAGCTTAAATTAAGAACTAACTTAAGTTAGAAACTAACTTGAGTNCAGAAACAATCGTTTCGAAGTAGAGATTGTTTTTTTTGTATTTTATTTTTTATTAATTAACGGAAAAACATGAAGTAAAATTGATGAATTTTTGTTTTTCCTAATATGTCAAGAGAAAAAAGAAATCAATTTTTTAAAATGAGATAAATACCCTACTATATAATTAGAGTTCAATACAAATCAATATTAATGAAGTTTTCAATGCAATGATTTAGTTTTCAATAAGTATTGAATACATCAACAAGGAAATGAAACTTTCTTCATTGATCATAGTAGACGCTTGTGTTTATTCCGGTCTGTAATAATGAACGTGAAAGAAGAATAACAAGAAGAACTATAATAACTCTCGATCGTTTTTTTTTTCATCGCATTCGTTATGACATTACGATTGGCATATTTTCATCAACACATTTCATATTGAAAGTACATAGCAACTCATAAATTGATAGAGAGGTTATAGCAACCTTTTCATTTACAATATAAGTAATTCTGTCGTATGTGACATTTGAATTCCATTGAGGTTCCGCTGACAACTAACCAAGATCAACTTGCTATTATATGAAACTCGTAATGTATCAAATTCACATGTTTTTTAAACAATTAATATAAAATATCTACATTAGTTAATAATAAGCAAGTTATTCGACCGTCTCTATTGACCGTATTACAAGCGCAAAAATCCATTGTATCACATACGTAAGCGTGCCTTATTGTTTATATGGTTGATGAACAATAATAAAATTAAGTATAGAAACTTTTTAAAGATGATTGATTATGCTGAAAATTGGCGTCTGATTCATTCTATGTTTCATCTAAATCCCTGATATAGTTCTAATTATATTTCAGTTAATTGTCATATTTTACCTATATTTTTCTCAAAAATTTGTTGATTCTCTTTCAATGGATTTGTACTGATTAAGCAAAGTCTAAGCAATATATAATTAAATATTGAAGTATTGCGTGTGCAATGACAGTTTTTATTCCAAATAGATATTTATTCGTGCTAGTTCACCGGTGTAATAAGATGTTGTTAAAACGATTTGAGTTATGAATACTATTTTACATTGCTAAAAATAAATTAGTATTTCAAAATACTCCGTTAGAATTTCGAATCATATAATTCTCTTGTATTACCTAGAGAAACTTTTATATTAAAAATGATGCGGGATTCTTTTGATTTGAGTTCGAACGCCGAACTATTTGAATATGTGGTTACCTCATGTATTGTGTACCAGATCGTTGGTTTCGACTATGATATTCAAATTTGGAAAAGAAGTACAGCAAACTGCACAAAAATACCTTAATCAAGCTATATAACTATGAAACCGTCTATCAGTTCTCAAGTGCTGTAGCTTTCACTAGAGAAACAGTAAAAACCATTTAAATCGAAGATTCCATTAACACTAATATATGAAAACTTCTATATTTTTGCCAAGAAAACTTTCGATTTTTAGAAAACTGAATCCTATACAAAATCCTATATTTTCAATAGTTCGTAGTCGGACACCAGGTAAAAACAAACATCGAATGTTATTACTTTTTGCTAGAAGCATGTGTAAACTTTAAGGATGTTTTCAACATATGCTTTTTATTTTAGAAATATAATATTGTAAATCTTATTATTTATAATCCATAATGAAGATATGTATTTTGTTCTGGTTGTCGTACTTGTAAAATAGTTGGCGTTATAGGAAAATAACCAGGAATATGTAAATGTTGTTTTTTGCTTTTATTTTGATCAACTTTTCTTTGTTGAAATTCTTCTATTGGATTTTGTTTCAGATCACTACGAATACCAGCTAATTGTCTTGATTTAAGAGCAAATAAACTTTTAACTAATTCATTATTATTTAAATTCATTCTATGAATAGCAGTTTTTAAATTCATTGAATAAATTATTCCGCATATATTACTAATCATCTAGGATAGAATACTAAAGTATTGAAATATGTTGTTTTTTTTTTCTAAAGAAACATCGAACATACAGCAATGAATATAATTGGTAGAAGAATAAAATTGAATGTTGAAAAAAGTTGATTGAAATGCTTCGAGGCAGGCTCAATGCAAGACGACTTCAAAGAGGCTAACACATCAAAGTATTGATAAAAAATAAGATTATTACTCACATTAATAAACGAGTTATTTACTGTGGGTGCCCGAACACATATGGTTTCATCTATAAGAACATGTCAAATTCATTTCGAAGAATATTCGTTTTTTTTTCCTTCTATACCTGAAAAACAACACGATTCTGGTATTAACCAACCAGGATGAAGTGATGCAAAAGTCGGACTTTTGTGTGCGACTGTTAGGCCAGTTTGTAGAACACCATCAATACAACAATGGTACTGTAGAGAAACTACTCTCAAAAAAAAGTTTATCATTCAGTAATAAAACTTCACTTTTTTATGCATTAATGTCCATGAATATGAAAGCGTATTAGTTGAAGTATCGCTTTCAAAATTTTCTACATTTAATTCAAGTACAATTGAGAAATTCGGTTTCATCTATCGTAACAAAAAGACACCTACATGTAATGAATTCAAACGATTAACTAACTCGATCACCCATAAACAAAACTATACACACAAGAATTACTGAACTCAATAATCCGAGTAAATTAAATATCAATCCCTAGAAGAATTTTATATCAAAAATTAAAATTTCTTTGTAGATATATTTACAATTATAGTCACCATTGTTGAATGTCCAATTAAACCAGAAAAATAAGCAATTACGGCTATGATATATAAAACACCAACACCAATCAAAATAAGAATTATCTTTAATCAAATACATGAAAAAACACCTGTAAAAATTTCAATAAAAGCAAAATGAAAGATCAATACTTTAAAGTATTGAAATTCATCTCCATAAATTCGACTATAAGCACGAATAAATGCCAGAACAGGATCTGTAACATCGCGGATTGTTGCCAAATAAATACTTAAGACTATAAGATTAATACCAACTAACTATATCATAAGTAATAATAATAATAATGATGATTAATATAAATATCAGGAAAAACTAATTAATTACTTACGCACTAGCAGAAAAAACGTTGTACAAATAAAAGTCAATATTAAACACCATCGATTTGACATAAACTATAGAACAATAATTTGATATGTTTCTTTTTTTTGAAATAATAATAACGCCTTACTAATTGAGCATTAGATGAAAAAAGACGCTAAATTGAAATAAATAGGTTTACATGTTTTTTATCCAAGTATTTTACTTTTCCATTTGACCATGTACCGTAAGTAAAAACATGTTGAAGTTCTTGTTCATTTAATGTAGGTTTTTTTGAATTTTGTTGTTGATGATAAGAAAGAAGATTTTCAATTAAATCATTTTGTTTCATAGCAATCGTCTTTTGTGTTTGTGCAAATTCAGAAAATTCATGCACTGATATATACAAAATGTATTCAGAAAACTTCGATTAGATAACATACTGAATGCAGCAAATGGTGCATAATTTGGTCCAAACATAGTTGATATACAGTCGAGACAACCATGAGGATCAGTTGTAATATGATTACAATGTGAATGTTCATTTGAAAGTTGATTTTGAATTTGATTATTTTCAGTTATTGCCATTTTTGATATAGATGAATGATATTGTGGAAAATTCATGGTTAGTGCTATGGCTTTTCCAGATTCTATCGGAAGAGCATAACTATCATGATTCTCACCCAATATTGTTTTTGACGTAGAATTGATTTCAGTCTGCATAGACGAAATATGTTTAATATCAAAGCGCGCTCATTTCTTTTAGATTATTCAGTTTACATAGCAAATATGTGTCGCTTGCACAATTACAATATGAATATATACTTGCTAAACTCAACATATTGAGCTTATTCATAAGTATTAATTTCAAACAGTTCCAAAAAAAAACACACAAATGTTACTATAGGAACTTGTTGACAGAAAACTTATCAACTGAATAGATCGGTAGCGACATTTCACAATTTCAAAAGCTAGTAAATATTTGTGTTGGTTCTGTGAAGTAGTTTTTTTTTCTCTAGAACTTCAATTTTAAATGCATCAATGACGTTTAAAATATATTTTTATTTGCGTGCATTATAATAATATGCAAGTACCTACATATATAGCACAATATCACATTATGAGATTAAAAAAAGCAACTAGCAATATCAGAATGCAATTGCAATGAAAGCAAATATTATTAGTATTATATTTAAATTCACCGGAAAAACAACAAAAATGAATAACAATTCGTCAAAATTAGGCGAATAAAAATTGTATTATGAAACAAGTAATTCCGGATTCGAACTTAATACATTAGTTGTTGCCTCACAAATTGAATCAAGTGATTTTGAAGATTCCCATTGTTTTAATGATTTTGATAATAGTGTTGACTCTTGAAAATATGTATTTATCAAATCAGTTTGTTCAATTAGTGGAGATTTACTAGCACCTTTCGATATTGTTTCAATTCGTTCAGTATTAGTGAATTCATCACAATTACTATTGATTAAGTCTGACGTTGAACATTTGACTGTTAAAGTCGAACGTTTTATCGAAATACTATTTGGACGTAATAGTTTCTTTGTTAATAAACTTTGTTCTGCAGATGATTCGACTATTATATTTGTCATAGTGGATGATGATGATAAAGATTTTTGTGATCGTGATGTATTAATTAAATCAAAATTAAAACATGTTGGACGTGATAAAATATTGGTTCGAGGTTCAATGGAATTATTTGTATTACTAGAACCTTCCACTGGTATGAAATGACGACGATCATTTAAAGATGGTTCAATTGTACAACGTTTAACTATCGGACAAATTATATTTGATGTTGATTTTGATGTTAATGATAGATTACGTTCATATTCAGATAATTGACCTAAAAAATTAAAATTTGGTGATATTTGGGATCGACGTTGTTTTACATATTGATAAGCATCATCAACAGATAAATGTAAATGACGCATGACATATGCAATTGCAACAGCCGGTGAACGACTAATACCAGCTAAACAATGAATTAAAACACGTCCATTATTAAGTCGAAGTTTTTCTATAATAAAAACAAAAGGGAATTGATTTTTTAATGATATTTATTTGTTTACCAATATATGTATAAGTTTTGTCAAAATAAGGTAATAATTGTGCATTAAGACAATCATTAATTGGTATTCGAAAAAAATGTTCATCATCATTTTCATTAAGGAATGAAGCTCTGGCCCCTGTTCTACTCACATTAATAACATGTGTTATGTGATTATCCTAAATATGAAAACTATACTAATCTAGAATAAGACTGCAAATAAATAGATTTTACCTGCATTTTTTTTGTTGAAAGAGCATCTTCTTGACAGCCTAGATAAAGAAATGGTAGTATTTGTGATATTTCAATATTAGAGCATGATGTTGTTGAAAGACATGGTTCATTTGATAGTCTTTGTGACATGTTATTGTTATTGAGAAATAGGGTTTGTAAATGAGTAAGTGCAAACTTCGATCGAATATATTTTATGACTCATTCTAGGTGGATGAAATCCTTCTTTTGAGTAGATGAGTGTTGCTGTTTCTTTTTCGTCATCAATGAATCATTCATTCAAATGTTTTATGATGATTCATTAATCAAGACTATTTCTTTTCAGTTACCTCTTCGTTCTTTTTCTTCCTTTTTTTTTGAGGTCTTAGTGTTCTTCCGTCGTCTAGCATAATTTATTTTTTGGCAACCAATGAAAGACGATTCCGAATTGAAAAAAACTGAAGTCCAAAGTATTTCAGTGCTTGTTACAATAATAAATAAAATAGGTTCATTGTTAACGGAATATCATAATAATTGTGACGCAGAGGTCGGAAGCAGTACGAGAACATATTTCGAAAACCAGTCAAAATAATGATATTCTCTGTATTTCAAAAGAGAAAAAAATAAAAACTTATTTATGCTTGATTTAAAGAATATAGAATAACATGATATATTATTGCCATGTTATCGAAAAAATGACGATAAACTTTGTGCATAGACAGAATTATAATTTAAAGCAAGATTTTATCATTACAATTTTTGTTCCATGAAAATCAAAATATCAATTATCTCTTCAGATTTTCTTGTTGTTTAGATTGGATGTAGTTTTATTATTTTCCTTTAGTTCCATTTTGAATTCAATTAAAAAGTAGCACATTCTCTTTCCATTATAATAAATGTATCTTTTCAGTCATTGAAATGAGAAAATATACTTAATAAGGATTAATTCTTTATTATAGCTTGATTATACCCCTAGCTCATATCGGTTCCAAAAGTATTAGAATACGATTAGAACAAAAGAAATGAATTATTTAATTTCTAATCATTTTTATGACATTAATTTAATATCAAGTATCAACAATAATCTTTTTTTTTCTCGTATAAAAATCCTACTTTTTCAGAAGCGTCTTTAAGGTTGTTATGAAAGAATGAATTCAAATATTCAACAACGGCAATTCGATAACTTTCACACATATGTACTATGCTCGTCAAAATTTCTGTCCGTGAAAAAAGATATCGGCACACCGATATTATAATGCACATGATCACAACTCTCCTCTGATTAAGTGAAACAACTTGTTATCTCGTTTCTCATCACCTCATCTCTTTATTCACTTACCCGTTCTCAATTAATCAGCAGTGTTCAGACTTCCAAAAAAAGAAAAACTTGGAAGTTTTCGAAATTTCAAGTACCTCTGTTCTAAATTGTTTGATACTTCCCAAATTCATGTAATTTCAGAAATTCTATACCTAGCGAAACTACACAAATTTCTAAACCTTCCAGTATTTCCAAAAAAATGTTCATTTTCTCTGTGTGTGTGTATGTGGTGTGAACGAGTTCAGATCTGTCTTTTGTCTTAGCCCACACCCACACACTCCCATACCCTACACCCCCAACCACACACCTCATCCAGCTCCGCACCCACACGCGTGCCAAGATCCAAACCAACATCTACACCCTTTGCATCGTTGGATAGAGCTTGTCTAGTTGTACTTAAAACATCGATTACTTTTGTTGGAATATCCTGTGGGGTGAATCGTCCCAAAAATTTCTTTGGTTTTAAATTCGTGCAATGGAAGAAACAATGGAAATTTTGTTTTTTTTTAGCTTACTATAACATGTATGGAGACGTGGGTTTCACCGTCCGATGTAGCTCGTCGAATTGTCCTTGAAACTTAAGATAGTGGTGTTGGAACATTTGCGTGGGCGAATCCATTTAAAAAAAAAACTCGAATCTGGACGCAAGATATCCTACGTCAGAAAGCCATCGTTAACAAAGGTCGCAACATTCATCTCGTGACTTTCAAAGAACAAATATTTGACTCATTTAAATATACAACACACATACACTGATACTGTTCTCACATCGATGAAGCAACGAAATTTATCTATTATATCTACGTGTGCAGGCAAATAGAGAAAAAGAACAACACAAAACCGACACAAATGTATAAACGGTTATTTTTCATTTTGAACTTATGTTCGATTACTTTGTCGTGGTATTCGTGTCCGTTTAATGATGGATCATTTAATAAAACGATCGCAGACAATGTCATAATTCAAGCTGAATGCATGTATTTGACCAGTCCACTCGAATGGAATCAATTTAATCCAAATACATTCGATGGTCTGTACTATAATTCAACAAAATCGATTCCACTGACCGATCTACATATGAAGCGTTTGTTTTTGTCAAATTTACCGCCACGAAATACGTCAACAGTAAAACATATAATCAATTATTGGCTTCTCAATGGTGCTGGTGGTTCTCAATTTTTAATGGAATCATTTGGAATATCAATGTTGAAACAAATTATTTTGAATCATTACCATGAGAAATATCATCAAACGAATCCAATTATGTATTTATTTCAGTACAGAGGAGCGGGATTAAGTAAGCCATCCATTCATTGTCATACAGCAAGAACTTGGGTTGATTGTGCACAAGAATTAATTCAAACAACAGTACCAACGTCAGTGAATGAATCATTAAGAATAATTCATGCTATATCTAATCAAAATATTGCCCAAGATTTACAATATCAAATTCAATATTCAATTAATCAATCGCAATCGATATGTCCAACATCAACTTATATCTATGGACTAAGTCAAGGTATAACAGGATAGATAAAAAACACTCCTCGTTTCCAACAGAAGTAATTCGATTATTTTAATCCCATAGTGATGGCACTAAAAACTTTCTAATCTTGCTTAGCTTTGTTAAAATATCATATTTAGTAGCTTAGTCCGAACTTCGCTGCAAGGAAGCAAAACGTCGTTTCACCGGGAACCCACAACCACTTAGCGAGGATGAGCGGGCTATGCTCGCCGTTGCCACTATCCGAGTAGCTACGCCACTGATCGTATTCTTATGTGAATTCCAGATTTTCCCTTGCATTACCTGGTTACTCTGACACGCTTTCAGTGCCCATAATTTTGTTTTCTTTTTCATTATAGGTACAGGCATCATTCAATATTATTTATCAATTCAATCGATTAATTCTCAATTACAACAAATCAACGGAGTAATTCTCGATGGGATCATGTCAATAAAAAAGGGAGATATGTTTGAAAATCAAATAAAATCAATAAGCAATCGATTCTATATGTATCTATCAAAATGTCAAAATGATGTTCAATGTTTGAAAGCCTTCAATCTTGTCACTGGTACTGATCAGGATATTATAGGTGTAACAGCAACATTGCAAACGCTCTTTT